TATTATTAGCATAAGCATAAAGCTCATATTTTTGAATATTTGTTAAAGTAACTTTTTTCAAAATTTGATTTTTTAGTTAAAAAGAAAAGGGAGGAAAAAGATAAGGGGAAAAAAGCAAAAGAAAATTGAAACACGAAAAAACATGTTAAAATATATTGATTACTGATCTATTAGTTGATCAGTGCATATGATTGAATTTTAATAAAAAATGAAAATATGTTTTGTAATATAAGACTTAACCATACCTTAGAAAATATAGAAAAAAAAGCATTTAATATAAACTAATTAGTGATAAGTATTTTTAGAATTTTAGAATTTTTTTTTAAAAACTTAAATATTATTAAATAAAGTATCAATAACTTATTATTTTTCATTTAATAAGTTGCAGTTATATTAATATTACTATAGTTAAAGTAATTGCGATTATAGTGTTATAGTTTAAGTATAATTCGGTTAAACTTTAATTTAAGTTATGGTTTATATTGCTTGATATTGTTGTAATTAAAGTTATTATTACCATGATTGAGGTAGTTGCAGTTTATTGTAACTTATATCGGTATTGTAACTTATATAAATCAACATGTATTAAAATAAAAAATGAAAACTAAAATGAAAGAATTTTTAAAAAAAAAGATAGTTTTTTTTTTATAGAACGTAAGATATTTATTTGTATCAATTCGTAAACTTTATCAATTAGTGCTAATAGATTACTTTATCAATTAGTGTTTATCAATTGGTGCTAACTAAATCTGATCAGATTTCAATTATGCAAAATTATATAATTATATTATCAAAAGTCACATGCGTGTATTTAAGAAGTATATTGCTAATATAGATGGGATCAGAGATTCATTGCACAATGTAAATATAGAGAGTATGCATTTAGCTCTAAGTTCTAGCTTAAGACTGGGATAAAGTGTGTATATAAAGAGGTTGTGTACTTATAGGTGAACACTTATAAAGAGTTGACTGTATATAAAAACATTGCAATTATATATAGGTTGGATTATAACAAATTATTCTTAAAGCATTAGATTCATTTTCTTTAGTTATAATTCAAAAATATATATAAAAATCATGGCAATATATAGATATTTATAGAAAAGGTATTACTGGAAAAATAACAGAGTTTGTAGCTAAAAAATATAAGTCTTATTGTTATGTATCTGATGCAATTTATAATGAAATAATAAAATAAAATAAAATAAATTGTTTTATATAATTTTTAAATTCTGATTTCTGATTGACTCATATATATATTACACAATGCTTACATAATTTACAAAATTGAAAAACATTTTTTTATAAATCAATTCATTTTTACAAAAATAAATCATTTTTTTATTCAATCAGTGGATTAAATTTTATTACTATTTTTTAAGTTCCTATTATAGAGGTTTTACACTGTAGAATTTATGAAGATTTATTACATAAATAAAGAATTAAATAAATATATATCTATTATATTATATAAGAGTTTTATTTAAACTTTGAAAGAATCTTATATCATATATTAAATTTATGATATTAGTTACAGATTTATATGATATTTGTGAAATATTAAAAAAAAAGATTCAACATATAAAAATTTTTGATGAAAAACTAAATAGGATTAGAATTAAAAATTGTAATAATAAAGTAAAAAAGAAATGAAATTATTATAATTATAATATTACAATTAGTAATATATAAAAAAATTACTCATATTTATTATAATTAGATACAGAATATTCTGATCTCAGTAAATTAGTTAAATTTATTTCAAAACTGCTTTTGCAATTCATATTTTCAATATATGTAATATAAAATAATAATCTTTTATATAATAGTAAAATTATATTATTAGTGAAAAAAATTTTTACATAGAATTATAGGAAAAGTGCTAAAAAATAATCAATCTTTATTTTAATGTATTAAGCAAATTTTACTAAGGAGAACAACATTTAAAAGTCACTTACAATAATTGTATAGATCAAAACAAGAATGATCTTTCTTTATTTTTCTAGCCTTGATTAATAATAATAGGAAAATATGATATTGTTGAAGTAAATTTCATGATTTAAAACACAAAGTTTTTATTAAATAGATATTTTGGTAATATTAAAACACTCTTTCAATTAACTAGAATTAACACAATAGATGATGTTGAATAAATAGTAAATAAATCTATTAAAAATTGAACTAAATGTGTTATTTTATAATGGAGGAAATGGGTGGTTTTATTATGATTTCGAATCATTTTTAAAGATCTATTTGCAATTTTAAAAATAAAAACTTTATTATATATATATTTTAATACGGTTAAATCAGATGATAATTGTATTTGTACAATTAATTCCTCGTGACGATGTGAATGACCAGTATCAGGTCTATAATAAATTTTCTACTTGGTCATGATATAGTTTCGATTTTAAAAATTTTCTGCAAAGTAAGAGAAGGAGACTTAAGAACTCAAGAGAAAGAATTTAAATATAAGTGAGAAAAATAAAAAAAAGTATGGAAAGGTTTAATAAATATAATTATATTTTTTCATATTACATGAATTTATAGCGAAAATAGAAATTTAATGTATATATTATCGTTAAAGTTATGAAATGGTTTTTAAGAATTAAATTAAAATACATAAATCATTTGGAAATTCATGTAACCTAAATTTCTTACTACGAACGCAATTATAAACTCTATAAAAATAAATTTAAAGAAAAAATGAAGAACAAGAGAAAAGTAAAAAAAAAAAAAAATAAAAAAATAAAATTATATATACTTAGTTGAATGATGCTAAAATTATAATAATTGATAAGAATGAGAACGATAATATGAACATTCAAACAATTTCTATGCAAAGGAAGAGCACACATAAATCTTTATAAGCTATATTAAACGGGATTGACAGATTTATTTTGAACACGAAATAAAACATTAAAAAGAGAACGAACTGCTGTAACTTGTTTAAATGAGTAGTGTTAGATATAAATGAATTAGATTACATTTCTCTTTCGTTTCAAGATTCACCAAAAACAAAATCAAAAATCAATATAATTATACAGAATCAAATTCAATATCTATCTGCAGCCTAGAATATCAGTATCTGAATTTGCAACACTAATTACAGTCCTGACCGGAATAAAAGAAACCATAGAAATATCAGTAGTATTAGTTTTTTTAATTGGAAGTTTAACTTCCAACGTTTGATTAAATTTTTCACCAGCTTTAATTGGACATTCATTATTTTCACTTCTAGTGCAAGCATTTAAAATAGTAGGGGGTGATATGGGTTGTTGAGTTGCTTCATTAACGAATGCAACCACAATAAAGGTTTTTTTGGTAACATCTTCCGTAAATATTCCGGAAACATTAAAATTATAAATAAGATTTTTTTTATGGTTGGGTTCGTATATACTTGTTGAAACATTGAGTAATACTGGTGTCGTTAAACCTTGTGTTGCGTTACAATGTAAAAAACTCTCGGATATTTTATGACTTTTATGTGGAATTGCATTGACCATGGAAAGCGTGACCAATAAGAGGAATGCAAATATAAATTTTCGGTTCATGATTATGATTTTTTTGAGAAGTTGAGTTTGTTGAGTTTTATTTTTTTTTTGGTGAATGTTAGTTATCAAATAAGCTTGGATTCTTAAATTCAGAGTAAAATTGAAATCATTGCCTTTTATAAGGAAAAAAAAGTAAAAAAAAATCGTATTCCCATCAGCACTTTTACATCTGGTACCAAATTTTGATATGTTATTTTGTTTCTCTTTGAAACTATTCACAATAAGAAAGTTTTAACAAGAAATGTTGATGTATTAAAAAATCTTCCATAGTAAATGTAAAAGAAAGATAATTTTTATTGTTAACGATCATTTCGAAAATTTGAAAATCAAGGTCTGAGACGATCAAAAAATACCTGTTTTAGCACTATATTAAAAAGAAAATTTGACGCAAGAAGAAAATCAAAACGCTTTATGATCGACGTCTATCTTTTATTCACAAAAAGAATTAGAATAAAAGCTCGATTTGTATTTCATAAAAAATCATATTTTTTCTTTTTATTTAATTTAATATTTTGTAGAATTGATTTTATAAAAGATAAACCTTGAAGTTAGCTTTTTTTATTTATCGAATTCCCTGTGTTCGATTACTATTACAAATGGGGACGAAGCCAGTATATCTAACTCAAGCCAAATGTATTAACAAAATCAACATTTTAATTATCTATTAAATTAAAAATTTTGAAATTTTAAAAAAAATTAAAGTCCGCTAGAATTGTTGTGTTTAAACTAAAACTTTCTATTAAGCCAAAACTTCTCAATTATATTACTATTAACCGGTCGGTCAACCGGTCAGTTAAAATCGGTCAGTTAACCGGTTACTTTACTATCGTTAAAATGTAAATAAATTTTTTTTTTTTTTTTTTTGAAAAAGAAGACCTGTCACTTGAAAGAATGAGATATTTTAAATATTTTCATGAAATTTGAGATGACAAAGTTATTTAAGTTAGAAAATATGTCAACTTTAAAAAGGAATTTACAGCATTATAAAATAGTTTAAATTAGAGTATAAAATAGCTTAAAACGAAAAAAAAAAAAAATTTTTATGCTACCGTTCATTTACATACACCCCAACATGGAATTCCGTAGAGGGTCACATGTTTGTTTAATTCATTCACTTTACAACTAACGTACTCTTGCTTTTAAACATTTCTAACAAAAATTCATAAAAAGGTTATCATTTTATTGCTTTTACAATGAATAAAGTGATAAATAAGGTTCAGTAGGTTCTTTGAAAATATTGATTAAAATAATTATAATAAAATAGTATGTCAACTATAGACTTTTAACTTGGGAAATTATGATCGAATAAAAAGAAACTATCGCTACATAAATTTTAAATATTTAAAATTTATTGAACATACATTTCTGATATACAAATAAGTATTGCGGGCAAGAATCTCTTCAGGATCACAGATCAGTTTTTGCTTGGTTAAGGACAATTAGGCGCCACGACTATCGCATATTAGGCAATCATTTGTTATTCAGGGAAGTAAATAATTTTCTGCTAAAAAAGAAAAATTTGTACTTACGCGAATGATCCGGACATCCGGCACACCTAAATAGAAATAATTCATTAAGTATTCTCAAATTTCTTTGTAATGCAAATTCTGGAATTGCAAATTACTTACAGAAGCAAACAGCAATTAAGATCAAGTTTACCCTCTGAGATCATTTCAGCTTTCCAACAATTTGCATATTCATTAATACATTTGCTACAACATTGATAATAAACTTTAGAGTTAGTTGTAGGACAACTATTGTATGCAGCATTAATCCTGCTCATAATAATTGAGAAAAGGAGCAAAGTGCTAATAACATTTAGTTTCATTTTGACAGTTTCGATAAGAAAGTTGTACCTATTGTAAATGGTAGCAATTTTTGATAGCATTATTTGTCCTTTATATACTGTATACCCAAGCACAAAAAAATGACGGTAACAGAAAAAAAGCATTTTCACGTATGATGATGGACTGCAGGTGGTTTTTTTGCGACACTACACAATGGAAACCTATTTTTAAAATTTGAAATAATCGTGGAAGGAACTAAGGAAATCAATTTGACTATTAATGCAAATTTTGCGAATTTTTTTATCGAAATAATAAATTATACTGAATAGATTTTTTTCAACGCTCAAATTTTTTGTTCCGGACATCGCCAGAAAAAAGATTACTGTATTTTGTACAATGCTAATAATCATGCTAGATGGAAGTAGCACGACCTCGGAATTGTAAAGTCATAGGAAAGCCCTGCACCACAAATAAACATTATTTCGGAGGTTTTTGTTGGTAAGAAAATATTCGTTTCACTGACCTGCATATTTCGGGCAAAAATTAATCCGACTGTATTTCACAAGATGATCTATAGGCAAGCCATAAATAAACATGTAATATAAAGTTTAAAGCTTCTTAAATACTCTTTTATTGACGATTCTCCTTGTGTAGGGGGAAGAATTTTAGAATTTACAAGCAGTTTTAAATGAACAGTCTCGGTCGGAATCCATGATTAATGATCCTACAAAAAGTAGAACTATTCGGAAATGATTTCGGCAAAAGATTATCCGGTTGATGATGATCTGGATTTGACTATCAGTAATTTCGAAATATATTTTATTTCTTTGAATGGATCGCAAAATTATCATCTATGTTTAGTAACTAGGTAACGAGAACGTCCGAAGCGTCTCACAATTCGGTCTTAGCGTATGATACAATAACCTTTCCCCTTTGCTTTCTTCCTTCAACATCTTACATGCTTTATCATATAAAGAAAATAAATAAAACAACAAATTAACAAAGAAAACAAACTATAAAAATAACACATCGATCCCTTCTAAAAATGTGTCAATAGATATATATATCACAAATGTTGGTAAATCCTGTAAATAAACCATCTTATGCGTTAGTAGCATAAACAAATAATGATAACACAGATACGTTGATGAATAACAAAAAACAAACACCTAATATAAATGCGTTTATACACAACCCAAAAATAATACACATTCAAACACTTTACATAAAAATGATCTCAGATTTATCTTGAAAAATACTTCTCATATGTCACAGCCAAACAAGAAAGGAAGTGTTTTTGCATTAGTATTAGCCTTCACTATGCCAGGCGATAATAGGATTGAAAAATTGAGCTTCATTTCTACCCTTTTTTCTCAAAGACCTGGTTTTGTCAATATAGATTGGAGATTTCACAAAGGCAATGCCAATATTTTTGTGAAAACTAACAATAGAAAACTCCTTCTCAATGCTATTGATAAAGCTTTGATAATTTACCCAAATCTTTCATTCAATTTAATCAAAGAAACAGTTCTCATAATTATAACTACAACAATCCAGAATACAGATTGAAATCTGTTCACAATAATAGGCTAGTTCAAAATTGGTCAATTGGATTTTTTGATCAGATTACACTAATCTTATAATCAAAGTTCATAATTGAAATGGTTGATCATATATAATTATTGATCTTATCAAAGTTTATACTAAAGTTATTAATACTTTATTCTTTTATATATATTATTTTTTTGTTTTAAAATGTTTAGACATAGCTTAATAGAAGAATTACAAACTTTTAACTTATTAAGATATGAATAATAAAGATTTATTTGAAGATACAAGCAACTCAAATGAAGAAAAAATAATGCTCAGTTAAAATATGTTATTTAAGTCATAATATTTAGAGAAAGAATTTGTAATATAATAAAATCAAAAGAATTGTATAATAATATTTTGTCAAATATAATAATTGTAAAATTAAAAAAATTATTAAAATGGATTCTATTAATTTTCAAAAATTTGTTTCATTATTAAATATTTTTTCAATTTTTCAAATAATAATAATTATTTACAAATTTCTGTTGAATTACAAATTGTAATTTTTTTGAAAAGAATTAGTTTTAAAAAAAAACATTTTTGAATTATATTCAAGATTTGAAATTGCTGAAAGAATGTTTATATATACTATCAAAGAATAATAATTGTAATCCTTTCTTTAAAAAAACTTTAGTTAAATAGCTAATAGGTGAAAGCAAATAAAATGTATATAGAGGATTTAAAAAATATCAGTAAAATAAATAATATTATAGGTGTAATATATAGATAAAAGTATATAGTATTAGTAAATGTACTATTAAAATAACCAGAGATATATTGAAAAGAAAAAAATATATTTTATATAATTATAAGGAATTATAAATTATAGAGGTATATTTATAGATTATGAAATTGGGTGATCTAATTCAGTTCATGATATTAAGAAATATAAAAATTCATATTTTTATCAAAATGTTTCTAAAATTATTAAAAAAAAAGAATATTTACTTGGAGATTCTGCATACTCTTTATTTACTTTTTTAATTAAACCTTTTATAAATTCTCAAATTCCTTTATAAATTCAATTTAATGTAATTCATTCTTTATATAAAGTAATAATTGAAAATATTTTTGAAAGGTTAAAAAAAGATTTATTGCATTAAAGAGTTAAATACTAGAAAAATTTTTAATGTTGTAAAATTTACTAAATGTGCAATTATTTTACATAATTTTCTAAAACTAAATAACAATAATAATAGTATAAAAATTATATAAAGATAAAAAAAAAGATAATGATAAAGATGATGATAATAATAAAAAAATGAATCAAAATGAAATAATTATAAGAAGAAAATAAGAAAGAAAAAGAGAATAATTAATAAATCAAATTATTAACTATCAATAAAATAATATAATTTTTATATTATAATAAATAAATTTATAAGTGTAATTGGTTAATTGATTTATACAGATATCTATAGTTTCTAGTGAAAAGAATGGTAGATATATTTTCAAAAAGTATGTATAAACTTAAATTTTAAAATGCATAATTTTTTATTTATTTAAAAAACTGATACTAACACAATATTTTTTATTATTTGATTAATATTTATGTAATCTCTTTTTGCATTGATTTATGCTTTAATCTAGTTTAATATGCTATCAAAGTATTTAAGTAAGCATTCTATAATGTAGATTGTTCTATCTCTGTTAGATTTTATTGAGAAAAATGTTGTAAGAGATTATTTTATTTTTTTGTATCAAATTCTTAATCTTTATCTCTATCTTTTTCTATAAATTACCTATATATTTTCAATAGAATTCAAAGTCTGAACTATATGAAAGCTAAGAAAGACTCATTCTAAATGATGTTCTTTAAAGTCATTTGAATATTTTGTGAGATATAATTTGGATCATATCCTTATTAGAAGATCCAATTTTGACTATATAATATATTTATTATTTAATTTAGTAATATAAGTAATGGAAAAATAGCAAAAAAAAATTTAGTATTTTTACTACCATTCTTTTTACTGAGAACTGTACATAACATATTATCATCATAAAATAAACTTTATACAGACATTATTATTATATAATATCATTATAAGTAATTATTATACAAATACTATGAAAAAAACTTTTATTATTGTAAAAATTATTATACAGTATTAAACTTATAAAAATTATATTATAATAAAACTATTGTATTAAAATGTTACTTTAATTTAAATTATTTAAATTTCTAAATTCTATTTCTTTTAATTTTATTTTATATTCTATTTTCATCTTTCTCTCTTAAACTTTTACTTTTGTTTTTTTACTTTTAATTTATTTATTTCAATAACATGATTTTTCAATTTTTTTTTTCTAACTCAAGTTTTTTCCATATTCTTTTTCTAATTTCACTTATTACAGTAATTATTATTATTATAAAATTTACATGATTTTTTTTTGATTTTTTTTAATAGTTTGAATTCAATACTTAAAGAATCTTCACTATCAATATCAATAAATCTATAGCTATTAAAAAAAATATGATATTTTTATAATTACTAAAAATAGTATTCATTTTATCAAACTATTTTCAGTTTTTTTTTCTATACTATTTTTTATTATAACTTTTAATCTTATCATAATATTTAAATATTCTTGTCAACTTACTTTTAATTGCATTTTGCTTATTTTTTTTTAATATTTTAGCAAATATTTTATTGTATAATTTAATTTTATTATCTTTTGTATATTTATCAAAATTATCTATAATGTATTAAAATAAGCTATCAATTTTATGAATCTGTTAATTGATATTAAACTTTTTATTATTATTAGATTTATGCTTTTTTTACTGATAGAATCCTGAAATTAATAAATAAAAATAATCTATTATAATTTACAATTAAATAAAATTAATTTAATAAAAGAACTTTTATTAATTAATAATATCTTTTTATCATTAAATCTCTTTTTTTTTATTAGTAATTAACTTTTATATCAGTAAAATTAGCATTATTCTTCTTTTGATATATTTTGTATTTTTATAATATTCAGATTCTTTTTCAATATTAAAATAATTAGCTACAGAAAAGTTTAATTAAAATTACTTTCATTATATTATAAATAATAATTAAGTATAACTAAATTTTACTTTAATAATAAAGGATTTTGATATAATTTTGCAAAAATTTTAGTAAAATATTCAAATGAAAAATAGAAATTTCTATTAGTTTTAATAAACCTAAATAACATATTATTCTTATGAGATAAATTTACTTAAAGGTTCTGAAGAATCTTTTAAAAATTCTATTAGTAAAAAAAGAAAAGACACATTAGCAAATATATTTTATATATCTTTTTAAGATTTTTAAATACTTAATTTATTAATAGCTCATAAAGATAAGTTTGTTGATCAGTTTTAAGTTAAATTTTATTGGCTACAATTTTAATATAATGTGATCAAAAA